GAGAGAGAGCGAGAGAGAGAAATCTATGAAAAGGAAAATAAATGACTTTCAAAGATATCTCACTGTAGAGGAAGTGTGTTGACCACACAAATGTGCATATGCATGCTTCCAATTCAGTTTGGTTGTCTGCATATTTATAATTATTGCCAGACATGTTGGAGTATGTGTGGATCATGTGGCTGGTTAGTGTTTTTGTATGTTTTCAAATGAGAAAAACACTAACTTATTAAAAGATAATGTTTTTTTGCACATAACAAGGCTATTTATATTTATGCTAAGCTAATATTACACTTATTCAAAGCCAACACAGTTAAAATATGGTTTCTGCCGTTTTGTATGAGCCATATGAATAGGCCAGTGCAAGCCTGCATGTGAGATTATATCCCACCATATTACGCACGCTTAATGTGATAAATAATGTTAGATCATAGGTTTTTATGTTTTAGGAGCAATAAGGGTCTCTATTTTTGCTGCAGTTTAAAGGGGGTATTATGCTAAATTGAATTGTTTGAGCTTTRTATCATGTTATAATGTCATTCCTTCATCAAAAACACACTCAAAGTGTTGCCTTGACTCATTCATGCATCTTTGAGAAATCCTTGAATCTCCTGTGGTAGCCATTCAGMGCTGCCTAAATGCTWGCTGGTACAAAGCCCCWCCATTTGACCCAAAGCCCCTCCCTGGGCTCAGTCTGCAGTCCTCCCACGCCACAGGCCGTGTCTCAATTCATGGGCTGCATCCTCAGGAGTATGCAGGCCAGCTGGGCCACGTGGGCCACATCCTCCCTAGTCTGGGTAGGCTGCATGAAACTGCTGTGAAACGGGACAGTCTAGCCTTCGCTTGGCGTTTGTTTGCGTGACCACGCCTTCGAATTGGGACAGCACTTGGAACGGGACAGTAACATATGCAGCCGACAAATGCACACTCATGAGGATGCAGCCCCTAAATTGAGACAAAACCACGGAGCAGCACTTCCTGGTGCCTCCCCCACATAGCTCCACCAGACAAATTCCAGCAGCAATTAGCAAACACCTGGGGCCTCATGCAAAAAGGAGTGCACAGCTTTCACACTAAAAGTTGACGTACAGACAAATTTAGAAAAGTGCGCCACACCAAAAAAAAAAACATCAGATGTATAGAACTGTGCACACGTACGTTCCTGCGCACCTTTCCTTTATACATCCCAATGAACGTGGAACTGAGCACACCTGAGACACCTCCCCTGACACGCCTCCATTTAAATATGTAAAATAGATGTAAATGTGTCCAGTGTGTGAGATTCTCCTCAGATGGTCCTCTCTGTGGGATCAGAAGTTATTTTTGGATGCAGGAAAAATATACATTAAATGGAGAATGAGTGAGAAAACTGTCTGAATAAGTAGTGGGGTGTAAAAATGTGTTTGCCACACGCAAAAGGTTGTGTGGGTGTTGGGTGTGCAGCGCGTGCGCTGCTGTCTTCAGCAGCGCATGAGGCTGAGAGACATTTCCACCTTTACACATCTTTAATAAATGACTATAAACACAGAGGAACTTCTGAGTTTGGTAGAACTTAGAAAAATATTTATTAAATAGTTGATGTGAAGAAACAAGTCGCAGCGCTGTGAGTTTCTGCTGCGGTGTGATTTATATTTTAGAATCATGAAGTCTCTCATTCAGCTGGCTCGACTCAGAACAACAGTCAATTACCTGATTGTAATTTTTTCTATGTGATACAAAAAAATAAACAAATAAAAAAACATGTCCTCAATTCTTCTTGTAGTGATATCAACCTGCTGTAGTGGTCACCTCGAGGTGGAAAAAACCGTTCCACCTGGCTTTGACCCTGATCTCAGAAGACCTCCTTTAAAAGAGACAGAACTCTGTTTGAGTTAAAGTCATAACATGCTTTCCTGAACAATAAAGAGACATTTTATTTTATTTTTTATTTTATTTAATCAAGATAATAAACAAAATAATAA